GATCTTCTTCAGTCGCAACACTAATAGGGATGTGAGGATTGCTTTCAATTCTATCCTTGGAAGTGCTTAGGCATTGGTAAATACCTGGGCTTACCATCCATGATTGGCATGAACAAGAAGGCCATTTTTAGTTCAATCAAGGATCGCATCTGGAAGCACATTCAACACTAGTTTGGAAAACACTTATCCAAGGCCGGAAGAGAAGTTCTCCTCAAGTCTGTTGCCCAGGCCATCCCTGCCTATTACATGAGCATTTTCCTAATACCAACCAGCTTGGAGGAAGAGATTCAACGAATGCTCAACTCTTTTTGGTGGGGCTCTAATAGTAGGTCTGGATGAGGCATTCACTGGCTTAATTGGGAGAAACTAACTGTATGAAAGGAATATGGTGGTCTTAGATTTTGACATTTCCACAGATTTAACCTAGGCATGCTTGGAAAGCAAGGTTGGAGATTATTAACTAAACCTGATGCTATCTTCACACAAGTTTTCAAGGCAAGATTCCCTCAAGGGGATTTTTTAGGGGCCTAGTTGGGCCACAACCCAAGTTATGTTTGGCGTAGCATCCATGCGTCACATGCTATCATTAGGGAAGGAATTCGGTGGTGTGTCGGATCTGGTTCCAACATCAAAGTGTGGATAGATCCTTGGCTGAGATTATCACCGAAACCCGTTTATATCCTCTCTTATTCTACCTGGGTTCACTACTACAAAAATACTGTTTAACATCGCTATATTTACATCGGTTTTAGTAGAACCGATGTAAATTATAAACGTGGTGGCAAACTTGTAAATAAATAGAAAATGCAAACATATTTACATCGGTCGGGAGGAGAAACAATGTAAATATGAGCAATTCTACATCGGTTTTATGATTGACCGATGTAGAAATGGAATCAGTAAGTTATTCTACATCGGTTTTGCTTATGACCGATGTAGAAGTGAGCCCCTCATATGTGCCCCGCGAGCACGCTAGGTTAAAACATACCCTTTCACTCAGCAATGTCCCCAGCCATCGCGAGCAACGACGGAGAGTGAACCCCGTTTAGAGAGTTCTGAGCCCTACCCTTTCACTCAGCAACGTCCCCAGCCGCCGCGAGCAACGACGGAGAGCGAACCCTGTTTAGAGAGGTTCAGGCGAGTGGAAAAACTGAGCTAGGTTTTCATCTTCCATTTGCAAAACTTGAACCCTAGTTTGATGATTGTTCAGGCGAGTGGAAAAGCGTTGCATTTTGCTGCAGGATTTGTGGGTCAAGTTGAGGCAAGAGAAGCATCAAGTCTCGTCGTCAACATGATACGACAGAAGAAAATGGCTGGCCGGGCACTTCTTTTCGCCGGACCGCCGGGAATCGGCAAGACTACATTAGCCCTCGAAATAAGTTAGGAGCTTGGCACCAAGGTTTCTCTTCCATGTCTCATTCATGTGTTGTTTTTGTTTCTCTTTTTGTTATTGTGGCATAAAATAAAGTATATGCCACTCTGCAGGCTCCATTTTGCCCTATGGTTGGCTCTCTGAAGTTTACTCCTCAGAAGTCAAGAAGATTGAGGTTCTCATGGAAAATTTTAGGCGGGCTATTGGTCTGCGAATCAAGGAAAACAAGGAAGTATATGAAGGAGAGGTGAGTTCATGTTAGGGTTAAACTACTATAAATTCTAAGATAAAAGAAGGAATTATAAAACTGAGAAAACATTCATTCATTCATGCCGTCCCATTACATCTCTTTTGTCTTTAAATACTTGTAATAACCCTAGAGCTAGGTTACAATATAATGGGCCAGTTGAGACTTTAGGAAAAAGGAAATATTTAGGGCCTCATATATAGTCCTGGAACTTAAGTGGCTTTTGGGCCTTTCTAACGAGCCTCACATTTGGAAGTGTAACAATGCCCATTCCATGAGAATTGTCTTGGTCCTCCAAGACACGAGAAGAATCTGGCAGGTTGGAGGTCCTAGTACGGTTAGGTGCATTAATTGTGGTAGGTGGGAAGTGAGATGGAATGAAGGGTGGAGATTGAGAGTTTAAACCATTGCCAAGGATCAAGGGTGCATCGAAGGGTGGAGGATGAATTGTGTCATGCGAGTGGTTGCCAGCTGTGCCCACGTGTTGTGTGGAAGGGGAAAAGCTTGCATGTGAATTGCTAAGTGGCATTTGAAGATCGTTCAAAGCTAAAGCGTTATTTGGATTCGCAGAAGCTTCTCTCTGAATAGAAGATGAAGGGTTTGTTGACGGGGGTACACCGTGGAAGCACCAGAGCAAGGACACATGGAACACAGTGTGGAGGCGAGCCTGCTCAGGAATAGAGAGTTCGTAGGCCACCGCACCGATACGGCAGATGACTTGGAACGGTCCATGATAACGGCGACCCAATTTGTGGGATACGGGCCTAGCTAAGGAGCGTTGGCGGTACAGATGCGTCTTTAAAAGAACCCAGTCACCCACTTCAAAGGTAACATTGATACGACCCTTATTTGCTTGGTCCCTCATTCGTTGTTGGGTGCGACACATGTGCTCTTTAATTATGCGCAGGTTCGTGGTGCGATCTTGGAGAAGGGACTCAACAGCCGTGTCTGTAGAAGATTCAAGAATGTAGTCCCGAACTACCGGAGGAGGGCGACCGTAAAGGGCTTGAAAAGGAGTGGTGCCGATAGCGGAGTGGTATGAAGTATTGTACCAGAACTCCGCCAAATGCAGCACTGAATACCAACGACGGGGAAGATCACCTGCAACACAACGTAGATAGGCAGAGAGGGAACGGTTCACGACCTCCGTTTGACCATCAGTTTCTGGATGGTAAGCTGTCAAAAACTTCAAGGTAGTGCCTTGGATCCGAAATAACTCACGCCAAAACTGGCTGAGGAACATGGAGTCTCTATCGGACACTATGGAGCGAGGGGTGCCATGGAATCTATAGACATCGGTGGAAAAACGATTTGCAAGCGCTGCTGCTGAGAACTTGGTAGGAAGCGCCAAGAAGTGCACGTATTTGGACAAGCGGTCAACAACAACCCAGATCACGGTGTGACCGAAGGACGACGGAAGGTGAGTCACAAAATCCATATTGATGTCCTCCCACACCCGTCGAGGTTGGGGTAATGGCTGCAAGAACCCATCCTTTTTTTTATGGATTGATTTGTTGTGTTGGCAGGATTGGCATTCGCGAATGAAGGTTTTGACATCATGAGACATAGACGGCCACGAGAAGGATCCTGCAAGACGAGCACGGGTGGCTTTGGACCCTGAATGACCCGCTGAGGGGGTGGCATGAAATTCATGGAGCAACCGCCGACGAAGATGAAGCACATCCGGAACAAAAATACGGTTGCGGTGGAAGATTAGTCCTCTAGTGGCGTGGTAATTGGAATCAGAGCCTGGTGAGACGGAATGTTGCTGCCAACATGCAATACCGGTAGGATCAGATTGGTAAAAGTTCATGAGTTCCTCAATGATAGATGGAATTGGTGTGGAAATGTGGAGGAATAAAGCTTCCGATGCTGAAGGGACACGAGAGAGAGCATCTACAACCCGATTTGATCTTCCAGGTTTGTAATGAATCTCAAATGAAAACCCTTGTAATTTGAATGCCCATCTTTGCTGTTCAGGAGTTTGATAAACCTGTGTTAACATGTGCTTGAGGCTTTGTTGATCTGTAAAAATATGAAAATGATTGCCCAACAAATATTGACGCCTTTTTTTTACAGCTTCAGTGATTGCGTACATCTCTCCAGCGTAGGCCAAGGCAAGCTACATCTTGGGGCCCAACTTCTTGCTAAAGTATGCAAGGGGATGACCATTCTGCAAAAGAATGGCACCAATGGCTGTTGCGGAGGCATCGGTTTCAAGGTCAAAAGGCTTGGAGAAGTCTGGCAAGGCAAGCACCGACGACGTAGTTAGGGCCCCTTTTAATTTGTAAATGCATCCTCTGTACTTGAATTCCAATGAAATAGAGTGGAACCACGGAGAAGATCAGTGAGGGGTGCGGCTAAAGTAGCGTAGTGTCGAATAAAACGACGATAAAATCCAGTGAGTCCCAAAAACCCGCGGAGTGTGTGAGGGAGTGTGGAGGAGGCCATTCGAAGATGGCTCTGATCTTGTCCGGGTCAGGATGAACCCCTTCAGAAGAGATGATATGGCCTAGATAAGCAACAGTAGGAACAAAAGGAGCACTTGATGAATTTAGCATAAAAACAATTAGTACTCAATAATTGTAAAACTGAATCTAAATGAACCAAATGATCCGCATAGGAGGAACTGAAAACCAATATGTCATAAAAAAAAAACAAGAACAAAACGACGTAAAAAAGGTCGCAATAGATCATTCATAGCAGCTTGGAAAGTAGAAGGAGCATTGGTAAGCCCAAAAGGCATGACCAAAAACTCATAATGGCCATCATGAGTGTGAAAGGCAGTCTTATGTGTGTCTTCTGGTCGAACCCAGATTTGATGATAACCGGAGCGTAAGTCAATCTTAGAAAATATAGTAGCGTGACCCAATTCATCTAGTAGCTCATCAATGGTGGGAATGGGAAATCGTTCTTTGATTGTAATAGCATTTAAAGCACGGTAATCCACACAAAAACGCCAGGTATTATCTTTTTTTTTGCACCAGTATAACCGGGGAAGAAAAAGGGCTATGGCTTGGGGCAATTAGGCCGTCAGAAAGTAAATCAGCCACAATTTGGGAGATAGTTTCTTTTTGAGTGTGTGGGTAATGGTAAGGGCAAACACGAACTAGGCTAGAGTTGGGTAAAAGGTAAAAAGGGAGGGTAAAGGTGTGAGTTTGAAGGGTATGGGGAACATTGGGGCAAAAACCATTGCAATAAATGAAGTCACCATTTCCAACCATGACTGGGAAGGTGGGAGTAGGGGAAGTGGGTAAGCCAAGGTGAAGGGCCAGACGAGGTTGCATTATGTTATGTGAACTTCCGGTATCAATTAGAACGGTAACGGAATGGCCAGATATTGAACCATGAAAACGAAGAGTTGGAGGGGATTTGGAACCATTAAGGGCTTGTGGAGAAAGTTGGAGATGGATGAGAGGGGGGTCTGTTGGGGGAAGAAGGAAGGGGTATTGATGGTGAGGTGGGAGAAAAAGTAGGGAATGAGCAATCCTCCTCATCAACCAAAAGGAGATGAAACTGTTTGGGTTGACAACGGTGGCCACTATGGTATTTTTCATCACAATAATAGCATAAGCCAAGAGTGCGCCTCTCTTGTAGTTGGGAGGGGGTGACTTTCTTAACGGGTAAGGTTGTGGTGGAAGAGGAAAGGGATTGGGAGGGTGTGGTGGTAGGGTTAAGGGAAGGAGAGTGAACTTTGGAAAATGGTTTAGGATTGGGATTAGGTTTGGAATCTTTGAGTTTAGCCTCCACCAATTTAGCAAGTCCCATGGCTTGAGACACATTAAGAGGCCGTAGTAGGGCTAGTTCAACCCGAATCTCTGGAATGAGACCGGAAATAAAGTTGTTAAGGAGAGCTTCAGGGGGCAACCCAAAAACCTTGTTGGAGAGGCGTTCAAAATTAAGTTGGTAATCAGCCAATGACCCTGTTTGGTTCAACTTGAAAAGAGCAGCCATATGATTTTCATAAGTAGAGGGTCCAAATCGTAATTCCAAGGCGCGGGTGAAAGAATCCCAATCATAAAGTTGATTATTCTGATGGAGCCATTTGTACCAAGAAAGGGCATCACCGGTCATATAAAAAGCAACCATGGAGAGACGTTGCTCAGGAGGTGTATGGTGAAATGCAAAAAATTGTTCCGCTTGAAAGAGCCAATCGAGAGGGGAAGAACCATCAAAGGGAAGTAATTGGAGCTTGGGAAGCAGTAAGGGAGGCGGGTGAGGTTGGGAGTGAAACGTAGGAGGTTGTGAATGGTGAAAAGGGTTGGCGGTGGAATGTGAAATATGGGGCGGTGTAAATGGGGAAAAGGCATGGGTAGGGGGAACAAAACCAGGAGGTGTGGAGTTATGGAGAGTGCCAGAAGGTGATACCTGGAACACGGTAAGGGAAGCGAACCCCATAGAGCCCAAGGAATCAGCGGTTGTATTATGTTGGGGGAGGGAGGGGGCGGGCACCTTATCCATCAACGAAGAAAGGACACCGGTAAGAGCATCATGACGTGTAGTCATGGAAGAATTAAGTTGATCCAATCGTTGCTCTTGCTGGTTTTGGTATTTAAGGAGGTTGTCAGCCATGACTTGGATGGCCTCTTCCAGGTCTTTGGTGGTTTTGGGAGGCATGAGGTTAAATGAAAGCACCAGATTGTTAGGGTTACATTACTATAAATTCTAAGATAAAAGAAGGAATTATAAAACTGAGAAAACATTCATTCATTCATGCCGTCCCATTACATCTCTGTTGTCTTTAAATACTTGTAATAATCCTAGAGCTAGGTTACAATATAATGGGCCGGTTGAGACTTTAGGAAAAAGGAAATATTTAGGGCCTCATATATAGTCCTGGTAGCGTCGTTCGACATCCTGCAATGTCCGACTAATGAAGTACACCAGCTGTGTTCGTCTTGTTTTTCCTGAATCAGGACGGCACTGATTGATGTGTTAGAAACGGCTAAATACACAATCATGTCGAGGTCGACGAATGGTTTGGAAAGGATTGGAGGTGCGCCCAGGTGTTCCTTGAACTGTCGGAACGATGCCTCACACTCCGGGGTCCATTTGAACCGTTCAGCTTTCTTCAGTAAAAGAAGGATAGGTCTAGCTATCTCGGCCAGGCAAGGAAGAAACCGAGAGAGGAAGGGGAGTCGGCCCGCTAACTTTTGAACCTCCTTTAGAGTAATTGGACTTTTCATGTCTAGGATGGCCTGACACTTGTCAGGATTTGCCTCAATGCCTCGGCTGGACAACATGAATCCAAAAAATTTGCCGCCCGAGACTCTGAACACACACTTCTCGGGGTTTAGTCTAATTTGGTGGTGCCGAAGCGCCTGAAACACCTCGGTCAAATCTTGTGCATGTGCCGATACTGTACTTGACTTCTCCGCCATGTCATCAACGTACACCTCCATGCGTCGGCCAATTTGATCATGAAAAATTTTATTCATTAATCGCTGATATGTGGCTCCGGCGTTTTTTAAGCCAAACGACATTACTCGGTAGTAGTAGTTTGCCGTTTCAGTAATGAACGCTGTCTTCTCTTCGTCTTGAGGGTGCATACGGATCTGATTATATCCTGAGTATGCATCAAGGGAGGATAAAAATCTGTGGCCGGATGCCCCATCAACAAGTCGGTCAATGTTGGGCAATGGATATGCATCCTTAGGGCATGCCTTATTCAAGTTGGTGTAGTCGGTGCACATGCGCCATTTCCCATTCGGTTTCTTGACCATGACTACATTGGCCAACCATGTTGTGTAATGTACTTCTCGGATGAACCGAGCATCTAATAGCTTTCCCACCTCAGTTTCGATCGCCGCCTTCCTTTCCTCTCCAGCCTTCCGGCGTCGTTGAGCGATCGGTCTTGCCTGCTTGCTCACTGATAACTTGTGGCAAATAAAGTTGTGGTCAATACCGGGCATATCAGACGGGTACCAGGCGAATAAGTCACTATTTTTAAGGACCACTTGCTTAAGGGCCAGACGCTCTTGTTCGGATAAATTGGTCCCGAGGTAGGTGACTTGAGTTCCGGACACCCCCACCTGGATGGGTTGCTTGTCTTCAATAGGCTCGACCCTCTCATCTTGATCAATCCGGGGGTCGAGGTCTAAGGCCGACTGCTGTGATACTGAATGTACCCCTGCTGGTTTTGTTGCTTCGGGCTTCATTTCCGGTAATCGCAAACTAGCAAAGTAGCACTCTCGCGCGGTTTTTTGATCAGCGTGAACCGTGATTTCTCGTCCTGAGTCGGCTGGGAACTTCATAGCCAGGTACGAAGTGGAGACGATTGCACCGAGCCGATTTAAGGACGGCCGACCGAGCAAAATGTTATAGGACGTGTTGGCATGAACCACCACATATTTGACCGAAACGTCTTTGTATTCGGTTCCTTCAAACCCAAACCGGGTTGACAACTTGATATAACCCTTTGTTTTGACTCTTTCCCCTGAAAATCCTACCAAAGGTTCATCGTAGGGAATTAATTCGTGGTTTTGGTATTGAAGGAGGTTGTCAGCCATGGCTTGGATGGCCTCTTCCAGGTCTTTGGTGGTTTTAGGAGGCATGAGGGTAAATGAAAGCACCAGATTGTTACCCGTTACAATGGTCTTTGGTGGTTTTACAAAATCATACAAACTAACCATTCAATAAATCAAGCACCAAACTCATGCGCACCCAATTCAATCTACACCTTTACCCTTCGTCCAACAAATTAACAGGACAACAAATTAAAAATTAACAAAAACAAGTGCAAGAGAATAGGGAGAATCAGAATCGCACCACAACTCCGAGGAAATAGCGCTCGCGATTAGGGTTTGAAGAACTTGGTGAGTGACAGTCGAGAGCGAGGGTGGAGTGTGTCACGGATCTGGATTGCCTGCAGTGAGGCTTCACACAGTCAATCGACGCAGACAAGATCTAACGGCTGAAAATATTTTTCTTCTTTGATTTAATAAAAAATGAGGATCAAGATTTAAGTTTCTTTCTCACTCTGACTGCAGAGAATCCCAATCCGCGTGACACTGTGCATCCATTTTCCTATTGTAATTCACGAGTCGAGTTGAATTGGTTTCGTCAAACCTGTATCCGTACCGATGAAACTCATTATCTGAAAACTTACATTATTGGATTTGTGTAAATTTTATTTTTTATTCAAATTTGATACAGACCATTGTTGAGGATTGATTGAGTATCAAAAATTATAATTAGTTTAAAATTTTTGAAAATATTTTGTTATACTAAATTTAAATGACATTTTAATTATTTGTTAATAGTTATATTATATGTATAATTTGATTTTTATTCTTTTAAACAGTTATGTTAGTCATTTTTTTTTTAAATATGACCATATGTATTTTAAAATTTTAATACTTGTTAACATTTTACAAAACAACTTTCTTCAAAAATAAATAGAAACCCATTTTCTATGTACTTTGTTATGAATTTTTTTTTCTCTCAAATAATAAACAGATCAAGATATTAACATGTAATGGATAGAGATGACAATGGAATAGGGGAATGTAAGTAGTAGTTCTCATTATTGTTCATTTAATTAGTGTATTTATTTAATAAATATTTATTATTATTTTTTAAATGTAAAGTTTAAACTTTAAACAAAGAGGTAACAAATAATTTAAAAAAAAAAATTGAACCAATTTTTAAAACCGAACTAATTTTAAACTTTTTATAAATAACTTTTTTTAACAAAGTTATATAACATATACTTAATAAATGTTTAGATACTATTTTATTAACATCTGAAAGTCATATCACGTATGGGTTTATGTAATTTATCTTAATAAATTGGGTTTGGTTTTTCTAAATTTGGTTCTAATTTTTGAAAAATAGATCAATTTGGTTTTAAATTTGGATTGGTTCTTTTGATTCTTTTTTATTTTTGCTCACCCTTAAATGTAATGAGTATTAGGCTTTTTTTGCTCATCAGGTGCTTATTAGGCTTGATACTCATGCAAATCATGGACTTATTGATCCAACTGTGCTTGGACTGAAAGGCCCAAACTTTCTACACTTGGATTGGATTAATTACTTTCTTCATGCCTTCTCTTTTCATATTGGACATTTAGAGGATTTCTCAATCAGTATTGATTCAGTTAGGTAGCTAGTTCAAAGTCGGTTCTAGCACAAGTCTACGAGCTCATTTTTCAAATTTTATATATTAATATTATTTGCCTATTTTTATTATATTAATTTTGTAGTTTTTGCTAGAGTGCTCAAGCCTTTTCTTTCTGTCATTCTATATGAGTTGATTGCTTTAACCAAATGGTTAGGTTCAAATTAGCTTATGCTTCCATAATTAGGGTTTATTTATATAAATTTCCCCATAAGTATTTATAATTAGGGAAAAAAGATTGTTCAAAATAAATAAGTTTGTAAAAACTCTTATATTAATTTTTTTTTTATTTTTTTATTTATGTATAAGTTAATTTTAATTTATAAAAAAAATTAATTAATTTTATATTTTTTTATCCTAAAAATACTTACAGAAAAGTTTATTAACAATATGTTTATGCTAGGCAGTTAAGCATTGATTGTGGTTTCTATGTTATAGTAAATCTCTTGAATTAGTTAATATTTTTTTGTTGATTAGTCACATATTTGGAATCATTTAACATCATGTGATATATTCATTATTTTTGACCGATGTGATTTCAACCTCACCATATACTATTCAGATATATGTTTTAATTTGTGTAGTGGATGTCAAAGTATAAGTATATAGTTTCTAAGTTCTGCGGTGTATTACGAGTATGATTGCAACACTGTATTTTAGATGTTGAAATTTAATTATATTTAATATATGATTAAATTATCGAATTGTTATTTTAAAGTTATAGGATTAAGAGATTTTGAAGAGTTAAATTCTCTCTAAGATAATCTTAGATAAAATTAATTTAGTTTAACACTAAGAAGGATATATATTCAAACATATTTATAGGCACATAATAAGAACAAAAGGGTTCAATTTGATATAGCCTAGAAAATTAATTACTTCACAACACAACAAAAGTGGACGTGCATGGAGGTGTTAAGTAGATAAACTCATTGGAATTGTTCAATTTGATATAGCAGATGAAGAAATTAGATACCATTCCAAAGCCACTTTTCAAAATCAATGATGGAACTAAGAGATAAAAAAAAAAAAAAAAACAAGAGAATAACTAGGCAACACAAAATGACATGCATGTGCTAAACCTGATAATTTGTCTATTTAACACTTGCATGATCGATGTTTATGCCAATGCCAACAAGAACCTTTCTTCATACGTATTACTACTGTTTCTCTGCAGTTCCTTCCTAAATTTCTTGTTCCCTCAGGTCTGTGTCCATTGATGGTGGACCAATCTTACTAATAATTCTAGCCAATCACTGATGTCACACTAACTTGTCTTTGATTGCTACAACACCCAAGTCTCATTTTCAATGTGTTTCAAGATTATTCATTTATTTTCCAAAAACAATTCATTTTCTTTAAAAATCTTCTCAAAATATTAAATAATCATCTCTCAATTATGGACCTCAGCCTCAATTATTTAAGCCCCTTTTAATTAGATCGTTTAACTATCGACTGAAGTCTAGCTAAGCTGTGGCCTTCAATGTAACATTCAACAATGAAATAAAAATTAATTAAGGAAACAGAAAAAAGAGAAAAAGCAAACTAATTAAAGCTAACCATATATATATATATATATATATATATGCGATGTGGAATTGAAGAATCTCTTTTCATATATATGCGACACATTTCAATGTCAATCAATTAGTGTACCGACAAATAACTAACGCACAGTGAAATACGTTAGAAAATAATTAAAGCACCATATGACTAGAGCTTCATTGATTAACATTGAAGTGACTACCCATAGAAATTAAAAAAAGGCAAAATAGGAGAGACAAATTAAGATCTCAAGCTGTGTCTGCCTTGATCTCTGCCCCTTTTTTTTTTTTACTTTAATCTAGAGATAGAAAAAGTTATGTATGCTTATATCGACCACGTGCACTTTTTTCTTTGATAGCATTTGATTTGTCATTCGATGTGTGTTGTCCATGCACTTGATTATTTATATAATAGATTTAATTTACCATAGGTTACGAAAGATCTAATTAGGAGTCTAATTAAAACATGAATAGACGGAAGATTCCCGTTTCACTTGTCAAGCTTTTCTCACATGCATGCTTCAAACATATATGTCAAATTAATGTGTGCTTATTTTCAAACTTGTTTGACGAAAACATTGTTCCTACCTATGGTCGATCTACACGTCTGTGTTATGCGATTTTGGGCATGGTATGTTAATGAGAATCCTAATATCGATCCTATCCTACGTACCCACGGCTATGATACCTTTTATTGATGAGATTGGATAAATTGGGGGGTTTGAGTTGCGACATTGATGGCTAGCTAAGGCTACAAATTAAGGATTTATTTATAACGAAATCTTTTAAATAAATTATTGTAAAGTTTATTAGCAAAAATCAAAATCTCACATCAATTAAAAATAAGACAATTAAAAGGTATATAAATGAAAGATAATTTTTATCTTTTAAGTTAATTTTGTAAAGTTGAATTAAACTATTAATCATTTTATTAAAATGATATCAAAACTATTTAAAAATGGTTATCACTATTGATACACGTATCAAATATAATATTATTGGATGTGAGGGATTGTATTGAAAAAAATCTAAATTCTACCTATTCTAGATCATTAAAAGGATTACCTATCATTTATTCACGTACTAAATTCAATAGTCTATACGTGAATGAGCGTATTAGATTATCTATCATTTATTCACATACTAAATCCAATAGTCTAGACATGAATGGATGTATTAAAAAAAACTCAAATTTTACATTGACTAGAGATAAGATAATTAAATAGTATATAAGTGGGACAATCAATACCTTATAAATCAGCTGATTTTGTATGATTGAGTTTAACTATTATCCACTTCCTTAATAAAATTCTTATCATATATAACGTCCTAAGTCCTAACCTTAAAATGAAATAATTCATCTTCTCATTAAAATTAATACACACACTAGAAAAAGAAAGAGGTGACAAACAATTATAATTCCGAGTGATAAAGAATCAAAGTTTAAATTTTGTAATGTTTAATAAATAATTAATTCAACCTCAAATGTTCGTTACAAAAGAACATTATATATATAATACCAGAGTTATATTTTATTTTTATTTTTTGCAACGTTACCAAGAACTTCTAAACATTATATAACTTGTGTACTTACACGAATCAGGTCGTCTTCCCAATTCGGATAAGTCGTCCTGACTGCTGGATATAATCGAGGTTGTGTAAGATCGATCAACAGGTTGAGTGCCTTCTCTCCGGTCTCCTTGCTCGAGCGTCTCGGATGTACCTGCAAAAAGGACTCCGACGATCAAGTTAGTTCCTCTTCCATTGTGTATTCTCATTCTTATTGTTTACCTGGGTTGTGCGGTTTTTCGATGTAACCGCCTTAGCAGTTGTCCGAGGTGGGTTAATTATGGTTATGTCGATCATTATCGGCACGTGTTATATGTTTGATGTTGCTTATATATTGAGATATCAGTTTCGTTTATCTCGAGATTTAAGTCAGCTTACATTGGCCGATATGTCATGTTAGGATCTCGGTATAACCGAGGTCCAGGTATGACCCCGGTGGACCTCGGTGGTGGTACAACTTGGATGAATTATACTAAGAAGTTTGCAAGATAGCTAAAAAATAATTTCTATAGTTGAAACTATGAAGAATGTAAGATCCCAGTGTAATTGGTTTTTTGGACTTCAATTCGGCCCTCCCTAGTATTAAGAATAGAAAAGCTCAAGAATAATGTATAAACTAATGTTTTTCATATAGATTTGTTTATGGTTTTTACGATTTAACTTTCATATTAGATTATTGGGGGTCCGTCCCCATTAGCGATGGATATGCACGCGATTCAAGTCAACATTTTTATTTGGGTTTGATCGTGTCATCACTCAATAATTCAAATTATATTCGATAATTAAAATTATATTTATCGTTGGATGAATTGTATCGTTTATATTAATTAGTCTCACCATATTCAATTTTGATATTATTTTTTTACTTCTTTATACACAAAATTATATGATAGGGAGAACAAATGGTACTCAACCACAAACTGTACAACTTGAAAAACCTTAAAGTTGAATAATTTATGGATTTTTTTTTATCTAGTTAGGTATTTTCAATTTACTAAATTAGAGATTAATCTTATATGCAGTATTATATAATTATTGTTCACTTGAAGGATTATCGTACATAGGGACATTTTTTTACCAAATAAATCCTTTTCACAATGTATGAACGTAAATACGCCATCTCATCAAATTGAATAATATATGGATTTGATAAAGTACAAAGGATAATGAGATCAATTAAAGAAAAATAAAATACTCCCTAAATTTTAAGTAATACAAGATGCAAACTTGAATTACAAATCCTCTTATTAATTTAGTTATTTTTGGAGATAATCATCTTATTAATGAGAAGAATTCATCACTTTAATTACATTTTGTTGATATCTAATATCTGTAAAAAAATTTGACTGATCATTTTTAGTTAAATTTTCTATCTTAATCACATTTTTTTAATTACAAGTTTTTGAATTTGATATCTTATTTAAATAAGTATAATGTTAAATAAAGAAAGTATGTGATTTATTCATAAAAATAAAAGTTACAAAGACGAAATTAAGATAACTTAAATTTTCATGCATTTATCCCAACCACTATAGGTTAATGGTTTGATCTAATTTAGTTTATAATGTAAAATTTTGTTAATAGTTATTGAAAAGATTATTAGGTGATGGGTGTTGTAAAAGAGTATTAGCATTACCTATTAAATAAGTAAGCATTGAATTGGGAGAACTTTGCTCTCTTAAGTAGATCTACATCAAATTAGTTGAGATATAATATACTCGTAGATATATCGAGTGTCTAAGACATAAAAGAAAAGAAATGAACACGACGCGAAGAAAAGAAGCAGAATAGAAAAAAAAAAAAAAAAAAGAGAGATTGAGAGAATGGTGGATAGTCATGTATGTTTCGAAGTGAAGCGAATTTGAGTGTGGAATAAAGTTTATACACGTTATAAAGAAATATATCACTACAACAAAATAGATTTTTAGTGATATTTAATATGACTTCTAGTCGCAATAAAAATTGCTACAAAATCTTTTACTGTCATTTTCACATTAGCTATTGTATGCAGTGTCGCTAAAACATTTAGCCGCAATTATTTTAAATACTGGTAAAATTTTTTATAATGGTCGGATGTGAGACTTGTAAGATAAGGATTGTCTTCTACTTATATATATTTTTTAATTACCTTATTTCTAGTTGATATGTAAAACTTGTAAGATGAGGGTTGTCTTCTACTTATATATGTTTTTTGTGGAACTTGTAAGATGAGGGTTGTCTTCTACTTATATATGTTTTTTAATTTTCTTATTTTTTTAATTATCTTATCCATAGTCAGTCCCCTTAAGTTTAGGGACTATTGAGTTTGATAATGGTGAGTAATCTCATACCAACTTAGAATGGTAAGTTATAGGTCTAACCCAGCCTTACAAAACAAACTTGTAAGGTGAGAGTTATTATCCATTTATATACTCTTTAATTATCTTATTTCTAGTCGATGTGGATCTAAATTTTTTTTAATAAATAATTGTCGCTAATAGTAAATTTTGGTGTGATGTTAATACTTTTTTAATTATTACTATTATATATTAGTTATTAATATTTTTATTAAATAATAAAATAAAAGTAATTAATTTATTACCGTTAAATAATTGTCAGTAATAATAAATTTTATTGTATAGTGTATATTGTAATAACTTTCGTTGGACTCCATTTTATTTTAAGATATTTTATATTTAAATTTTTATTATTTTTTAAATCAACAACTACCATTATTTACAGTGTTTTTTTTAACAATCATAGGAAATTAAATAGAAGTTTCTATGTTAGATAAAAACATTAAAAAAAATTCATTATACAAAAGATTCTTAAAAATGTTAATTCATGATTTGGTATGAAGAAAACATTATTAAGTTATAGGTTTTAACAAAACTTTACCGTGATATATATTTCAATATAAAGTTATTAAACATACAAGATCATATGATAGTTGAAGGTATCCAAAAAAAAATCGTGATAATTGACTGTAAATATATTGTTTTTGAAAATAAAATTATCAAACATATTTTATAGAAAAATTAGGAATCCTATTCATGATAATAATTTATATTCACATGAAAAAATAGTTTAATTAAGAATGAAAGACTTATTAACCAATCACTACCTAGAATAATTTGTGTGCTTCTCAAGTCAGGACAAATCATATCAATCTAAGCAATGACGTATATAGATGGATTCCATATCACGCATCAATAGACATCCTATATTCAATTTCAAGTCACAAAAAAAAAAAAAAATCTAAATGGCTGCACCTTTTTGTTTTCTTTACATTTTCTCCACTCTTCTACCTTAGTGTGACATTATATTTTTAATTCACAAAAGATGTTATTATATAATGTAAATGTAGTATACAATAAGTACTACACATTATTAAGCAGTTTTACATTATACACACATTAATATATATTTGAATTTATTTATATGAATAAATGTATATTAAAATCATTTTCGAACCTATTATTACTTGTACAAGAGACCAAATTTACCGTCCGAATGAACCACTTGTTGGTTAATGAATATAATATGTAATAGTACTATTCAAAGAAAAAATTGTATATTTCTATAATTAATGAGTACTTTTATTTTAAACATAATACTTAATTAATACTATTTCATTAATAATGTTATATACTCATTATTAATTGTGCTCAAGAATATTTTACTTATATCGATCGAGTCATACAATATCGATCGAGTCATACAATAATTACAATTATCGTATTGAAAAGCTAATTAAGTGGCTGCACCTTTTTCTTTTCCTTTTCTTTTTCTCCACTCTTCTGTTACTCCAACATTTTTTTTTAATTCACCAAAGATATGTCTTTAAGTACGAGATAAACCATCCTTTAAAGTACTATATATAATGTGCGGTCCCTTCCAAATCAAAGTCGTCTCATAAAGCTTCAGCATGCTAGCTAGTCCCTTAACTAATTATAGGTTACACATATATATGAAATTTAAGTCATGACAATAAAAAGAAATTATATAAAGAAGACAAAGTATAACCAATTCTAATTACATATGAACAAAACGTACTGTAAAATAATAAAAGTAAATAATATAAAATTACGAAAACCCTAATGGACCACACTATTACCCTATTATACTTGAACAATATACCACAACCTTAATTGGAACAACTAATCCCAATCTATCATGTGTGACTTGTCCCTCATAGCCAGACACCATATAAATATAAATACATGACAAATCAACGAATCTTGACAATTTACGAGATATATGAACCATATATATGTATATGTACACACATAATTAATTAACATAACATAAGACATTTTTATAGCAACACCATGTTGTTATTATTATTATTGTTATCGACCTCGAATCTTATTGCGTCCAAGTTTGATGCGACGCCATCTTCTAGTTCCATGTCCCACAAGAAGGCATATCCATCATCATGAGGTTTGCAACTAATTTGAGTAGTGTTGGTGCGAGAGAAGAGCAAAGAAGTGCTTTGGTTTGGGTTGAAATGATGATGATGATGGGTTGGCATGGAGGAGGAGAATCTGTTGTACCCACCAGGAGGCATGGTTTGGTTTGGTGGAGATGACGAAGCCAAAGTTAGGGACGAAGGTGGTGTTGTTGTCTCATACATGAGTTGTTTGGAACTGTTCTCTTCTTTGCTTTTGTGGAAGACTCTGCACAACACCCAGTCCTCCTGAAATGTAATCAACAACAATTTGACCTAATCATTTAGCAAAACTACAATGTGAAATCCAACTATACGCGTAAAGAAACTTTATCCTCACGCCAAAAATACAGGGCAAGCACAACAAAGTAAACAACACTTTAATTCTTTTATTACGTCACTCACTACTACAATCATTATCTGAATTCTGTATAACATGCTGCAAGCCAGTTATTTGATGCATTCTATTTATTTTCATTTAGGGTTCCCTTCTTTTGGACTCTTTCATTTGGAGACACCCGTCCACAGGACAACAAATATTGAGTCAACCAAATATTTTATTTTTAATTTTAAAAAAATAAAAGGGATGTTACAAGAGTGTTTTTATCTGGTGTTGCAGGTGTTTATAAAAGGTTTTCGTTTTTAAATGTATTTTTTTTCTTCTAATTTTTTATAAACGTGGATTTATTTGATTTTGGTTAGGGATTAAGTATAGGACAAGTTTATCACCTAGCTTGTTCACATTAACCTCAAGCCAAATTAGGTCTATTTGCTAAATAAGTTAAATTAAATTATTTTGAAATGTTTGTTTCGTTAAAACGAAATCAAACTTCAAATCATTCTTATATAAAATTCTTTTTAATTTAACAAACAGTTTGTTTAAATAAATATAAATAATATAGTGATAGTAATATATTGTTATAATTTCTGTTGTATTAAATGTTTATTATAAAATTTTGAAATTATATATATACTTATTAATCTATTAAAAAATTAAACTAGTTGGCCTACATATTAGTGTAAATCCATTAATTAATACGGTATTTGAAGGTATGTTTGTACGTTAGGCATTTAAACAAACTTTTGAGTGAAGACATAACTTTAATGGGAATGGTAAGACCTTTATGAGGCTTTGAGTAAACAATAAATTTTTTTATACTTCGAAATCATCATTAATGTAAAATCATAAATTTTGACATAATTCTTCTCAATTAAGAATCATAAAAATCTATTTAGTTGTTTATAAATATTTATAAATATTATTTAAAGATTTTTAATATATTAAATAAGTAAATAAAATAATATAATATTTTTATCGCATTGAAATTTTATTTTTATTTTAAAAAAGTTAATTTTTCATTTCTCCATTAGAATAATTTTATAAAAAAAATTATACAAAAATAAAATAATAGTTTTTAAAAATAATATTTTCTTAAATAACAAAATAAATATAAAAACTAACATTTTTAAGTCTCTACATCAAATTTTTTAATAAGAAAAAAAAAACTTTTGTATATCAACTCTCTGTTAAGGATCTATATCAAGTAAATAAGCTTGAGTTTTTGGCAAGTCAGACTCCGATATTACAAAGATTAATATTATTTAGCTTGTTCCGTATATAGTTTTGATCATTTTGATTGTTTTATAGTTGATTTTAATTTTTATAAATTTTAAAATTTCATAAAATGATATTTATGATCACTTTGATTATGTTACATTCATAACATGTAATAATGTGATGACATGACTAAATATATATATATATGTCACGTCATTAAATTAACGATGAAATGAATCATATAATTAAAAAAGTAAAATTTATGATAATTAAATGTAATATATATTTTCTTTATCTAAAGAACAAAAGCATCTATCTATATATCTCCTCTGCCCTTCCCCACCCCCTATTGCTAATTAAAGTGGATCAGATCCACGGATCCAATGCACGTGAGGGGAAAAAGAGATTGGAAAATTTGTCATGTCTTTTTAGGGAGAATCTATTCCCACTTGTTCATTCATCAACTTTCACCAACAAGGTCTGTCGAGTTGAGCATATATATAGACATCCTTCTCTACAATTACAACTAAATTCATTAATTACATGTGTGTGTTGGTTTGCTAATATGTTTTTTTTTTTATTCTAAAGGAAATATTAGTAAGTTGTGACTTTAATTAGATTTGTTAAAATATTTTTTACGGGTGTAATATATTAAAATATTTTAATTTTAAAAGTAAACTATAATGTCTTAGAATCCATGAGTATTAATATATTATTAATATTTGGGAAACACTCTTTGAGTATGCTTGTAACTTTCTAACATAGGATTATGGCTTTCTGAATTTCGTTACTTTTTTTTTGTGTTCTCTCTCACACACACACACACATCCTGTGCAACATTTTTTTTTTACTAATTTGATTCTGAGAACAATGCAATATAAATTTTGAAGCCATTTTCGTGTTTTTAAATTTTAAAATTTTTAATAAAGTTGTGGATACCAAACACAACTTATTCATGTGTTAAATATGTTTAGTACTTATACAAAGTTCTATGCACGAAATATGATTTTCTTTTTTCATATTACATGAACAGATAGCTCATGATCAACTTTTACAACCTGGAACCAAATATTATTAATTAGCATGAAAGTACTTTGATTACAAATTTTAAAGATGTGGCTATCACCAATAAATACAGTGTTAATTAATTATAAATGATTTCTGTATATCTTATAATGTTGAAAAACATTTGTTTTATACCTAAGGCAAAAAAAAAAAGTCATTCATTATTGCTCAAAATAATATCAGCGTTACCGTTAGGAGATTAGCTTCATTAATATAGTTTTTGTCTAATGAAAATCAAATTATTGGTGATCTATAGTTTATACTGACAATATGATGAATTTTAACATTTGATGTACTTCCTTCCAAAAAAAAATATAAATAAATAAAATTGATGTACTAATAAGATAAGATGTACTCCTATGTAGTGAGAGAATTTTGTGAAAGTCAAATAAATAAACGTTGACTTCTAATTTTTATCATTAAATATCAAAATTAAAACACGAGTGATATGATCATTTTAAAACAATTATGTAACCTTGAAAAAAGAAAATCTCGGCCATTTAAATATGATTGTAGATTTAAATTTATTTCTTTTAATTTACTCTTATAAAAAATAATTTCCTCACTGGATACATCTATTACTTATATATAAAATGATTTATTAGTAAAAGATATCTTGTTATTAGTACAAATCATTAATGTTTATGTTAATATTACTACTTTCATCCCTTTTTAAACAGTTATTTAATGAAACGTAATAAAAAAATTCTATTTTTTCATACAATAATTTTAATGTTTCTAATTATGTTTTTCTTCATTTTTGTTCCATAATAAATACATGTTAGTTGTAAGTGTAAATTAATTAAAAATTAAGTGAGATATAAAGTATACTAATTGACAAAATAATAATTAATGTAGTATTGAGCTTTGAAAATGACAGATAAATATATAAACAAAATTTTCCTAAAAAATCAAAAATTAAAAAGGAACAAAAGTAGTATGTTATAAACAAAGTAACACTACTAATTTTATATATATAAAAAATAAGTGAATAATTCATCATAATTAAGTTAGATCAATAAAAATAGTTAAATTAATCAATTTTAATTAATAATATTATAAATTGTTTTATATCATAAATATTCATAAAATTAAATAGTTTAAGTAATAATTGTATTTAATGATGTTATTCATAATTCAAAAAATAATTTTTATATTTAAGGTTGTGAGTTATACTGTTAATAGTTCAATTAATGTATCAACTTTCATAATAAATGAGTGAATATATCATTAATAAACTTTTCACAATAAATGAAAAATATAAAAATTTAATAATTAACACATTAAAAAGTGAGTTTATATTTTTTATAATTAAGACTAAAAAATATCTCATTTATTTGTTATGTGAAAAGAGGTAGTATTAAAATAGTATATAGGTTATGTGCTTGCATATATAGAATTATGTCTTGTTATAATTAATTTAAATTATTTTGTAAAGAAAAAAGTATATAACTCGTGTACATAGCAAGCTTTAATCCTTACACATCTAATATTTGTAAAACTGCTTGCGAAACATAAATAAAGGATTTTAAACACTAAATAGGACAAATAATCTTTTCCTAGCTTTAGTCACAAATCACCTCCAAGTTTTGATCTTTAATTAATTACATCAATCAAACCAACCACATCAAAACACTTTAATTAATTTATTTTTTTAAAAATTTATATTAATAAACATTAATCAACAACAAATCTTTACTAAGTAACATTTATTTTCGTAGTGATTCATATTGAAGTAACATTATCTACCATTTTCTACATAGAAAAAAATAAGTAACATTATAAAAAGTAAAGTCATTACTAAAGAACATATTTTCTTTTTAACAAATCTCAAAATAATATTTTTAAAAAAAAAAATATCATGTTATAAGGTTAACTTTATAAAAAAATTACACCATTCCAAAAATTAAAATTAAAATTATACCAATTAAGTTGGTAAAAGAAAGGAAACAAAATTTAAGTTGCAGCCCACGAGCGAAAGTTAATTAAAGGAAGGAAAGTAGAAAGGAACCTTTGGAGGCATGTGTGGGGTCTCCAAGCGGAACTCATGCATGATCCACCCCGTTTTGATGCCATTCGGAGCTCTGTTCCTGTAGAACACCAACGTCTTCCTCATCCCTACAACCTCTTGCGTGGCTGGATCCATCACCGTACGATCCTTCCCCGTCGCTTTCCAGTATCCAGATGTCGTTGCCCTATTGGTCCGAAACCCCGTCGCATATTTGCGGTCCCTGAAGCTGAAGAAGTACCACTCGTTCGCGTTCAGCTTCGCCACCTCTACATTGCGCATGCATCAAAACATCACTCGTCAATTTTTAAGACAACACATGACATACACATACTAAGGTAAGGTAAAATACTATTAGTACTATGTTCAATCAATTGTGTCTTAGAATTAATAAATAGTTAGGTCATCATGTGTCGGCTAGTTCATTAATGACATGAATTTTTCAGGCTCCCAATCCTTCCAGAAAGAGGTGACAACACACCATAGTGTTTGATGACACCAACATGTAGTAGTGGTTGCTACTTAGAAGTTTCAACGTATTTGCCTGTTTGCTATATATGTGATTTCGTACCCTCTTTTTACTCTCTCTTCTTACCGTCTTTCATAGCTTCCCTTTCACGATATAGTGCATGAAAAGAGAGCACTAAATATTCTACGCAAAAAAGATCATGTATGTCCTTTCATGCACAAGAAAAAGCTTTTCTTGTATTTCACATACATATGAATAATGCTAATAATGAGTAAAAATCAACTAGCTAGATAGCGAGTCATGTCCAACAAAAAGGTAATTAATATGTATACACGTATGTCTGTGTCGGTGTATATTAATTAACATGATCAGTGTTGGTTGCTTGGGGAAAAAGTATTGCTTTGTAAACTTTGTTATAATAAATACTAGTTACTATGTTTGATATATATGTATATATTTATCCAAAGCGTAAAATTAAAGGGACAGTGTAACCAAAAGAAAATGATAAATAAATGAAGGGACACGATTATATGCATGAATAATCGAATAAGCTGCCAGCTAGGGCTCTATATTGTATTAGCCTGTTAGGGGTTGGTTTGGGAAACCTAATGATCACTAGCAGAATTAGTAGCAAACGAATCCAGCTATGTACAATGCATATTCTAAATATATAAAAATATATATAATAATTCTAAAAATATGGCCCAGACTGACTCATCATGATGAAAAAGAATTAACTCAAATAAATTCTATATGAAATGAAGAGTACTACGAACAGTAGGGTGGATGTGCCTTGTATATGTGTGCATATATTTTATGTTTGATTTGTAGCTAGCAGCCATTAAAACTGAAAGAAGAAAATAGTAGGAAAAAAGGAAGAGAACGGGCTTATAAAAAAAAAAAAAAAACAAAAAAGGGGAGAGAATGGATTGCATGAAGAAAAAACAGGGGAAAAAAAGATAAAATAAATTAACCTTTTCTCTAATTAGCTAAAATCGATGGATGTATAAATTATTAAAATTAGCTTTTAGAGAAAATTAATAAGAGTTTCTAGTATAAGCTAAATTTAATTTATTTTCTTAATTGATGATAAGTACTAATTAATAATTATTTAAAAGTTTGTACAAATAAGGCCTATATATATTGCCTAGTAAAAAAAGAGAGACTATCGCCTAGTTTTGGAATTAATTTTTATTTCACGAGAACTTTTATATTAAAATGAGTATTAATTTGATTCTTAATTTACATATGAAAGTTCTTATAAATTTAAAATTTATAAAAAGTTAGATGAGAGCTTCTCAATTTTTTTTTAAAAAAATTAACTTATTTGATAGTTTAATTTCATTCATTTTATTTTCATCTTCCGTACGTAGTTATTGAAAAATTTATGCATGCTAATATTATAAGTAGCATATAGAGCTCAAAAGCATGGTTTGGATCTTCATTTACATACTAGGCCAAAGAAAGAACATGTTTGGTATGTGCTAATAGGGAAGGAAAAACGAAAGACCCAACTATATATACAAAAGACAAAACAATTATTCCGGCAAATATATCAAGTGGAATATATTAATTACATAAATAAATTATGATATAAAGAACTGGATGTTTTATAGTATAATTTATTAATAGAGGCAGAGTATTCATGAACAAGTTGGCATTGCGTTAATGATTAAAGAACTGAATGCATTGTCGTGTCTGTTAATGTGATAACCCTCTTCTCTCACCCCACCCTTTCATTTTCTTGCACTCTCATCTCTCTCTCTACTCTCTTATGGAATCAAACAAGCGTGTTTGTCACTTCTCCGTATTAATTTGACAATACATGCCAGACATGCTTGTCTCAGCATATGTTTATGAACGTAGCTTTAGACACAAGACAGGTTTATGATCAGAAAAGACTTTTTGTGAATGTGGAGCAACCCCTATGCATGAAATCATTCCATTTCTTATAACAAAGACATGAACACAAAGGAAAACAACAAATTTTAGAAATGAATATGTATATACCAGGAAGTTGCCATGGTTCGCATATGTGAAGGTCAATTTCAACCAAGGTACCCTTCAGAACTTGCTCATTTGCGATCTTTTTGTAGAGGTAGTGACACACCAATTCCTCATCACTCGGATAGAACCTAAACCCTGGAGGCAGTGAAGCACCAATGTCTCTGAGACCCATGATTTTGATGTTTGAAGGAAGCGAAATGAAAGGAGATCTAGGATATGATATGACAAAGTTGTGTAGAGAAAGAGAGAGAGGAGAATCTAATGAGTATTTTGTAGATGTGGATAAAGCTAGCTAGGAATGTGGATAATGTATATAATTGAAGCTTGGAGGGGTTACTCTCTCTTGGTATAGAGCCACAAAGGTTGGTGCCGCTTAAATATATATAGTTACAAAGATATCAGACTTTGCCGTTTCATTAGAGTTTCTTAATGCATATTCCAGCAGGGGCATGCTTGTGTAAGTGGTTAGTTATAATAGGAAGCTTCAAGAAAAACCAAAGTTACAAGAAACCTTGACAAATAAGGGTAGAACAATAATATAACTGACAGACCCCTTCCAAAATGCCATGCCCCCCTTTTCTTTATTATTGAAAATTGAAATTTTTTCTTTTCTTCCTTATCTTCCCTTAATTAGAGGAAAAACTATTACATAGCAATAACTAATCAGAAGCTAAAGATAGTAACTTTTCCTTCACACCGTTTCACATAGAAAATCTAATCCCCTGTTCTCATTTCTTATCTTATTTCAGGTTCCTCTTATTAAAAAATATATTTCAGAATAAAATAAATGATCAGATCAACATGAAGTACGTGGATCAACCGGTGTAAAAATTTTCAACTCAATCAGTAATTTCAAATTCGATCAAAGTAAATCCTCATTGAGAACTGCCGTAATAATCTTATATGCTCAAACATGATTATAATTATATAAATTTAAATTACACTTCTGTACATTTTTTTTTATAACCTTATACTTGTAAAAACGTATATACCTTTCTATGATACAGTTTCCCTAATCCAATACTTTTTCAAAAACTTTTCTTTTCTTCTCTTTCCTTAAACAAAGTTCATTAATTTCAGCATCTGTGTTGTCTCACTTTAGAAGTACTTTTGAGGTGTTTTGTCCAAATTCCTCAAGCTAGAAGACCTCGTTGGTGGTAGTCCAACACTTAGATAGTTTTGGCTTTTAGGTTGAGTATTAATTTTTTAAAGGGTACATTGAATCAAGATTATTACTTGTAGATCGTCCTAAAATCACGTTTTTCGTCTTCTTTTCTCATGAGTACTTTCGTCATGCACTCTTTTAATATTTATGCTGTGTCTTTCTCTGTGGTGCACTTTTTTAATTTACTCAAATTCACAACGGACAAGTGTGGTTGTATATGGTAGGTTGCAAACAAATAAAAAGCTTCACAGTGATGCCAATCAGGGGGCATAGTAGAAAAGTTTGAGAACTGGTTTATTAATTTAGAATCATCCATATTTGTGTGCCCTTGATTATTGCTTTTTAATAAACTATTAAAAGTCCCAAGATTGAATTGTACACGCACGTGAGGTAAGTTTAATTAACATTACACGGACAACTCTATAAAACAGGGGAAATAATTTCATGTAGCTGGAAATAGAATTTAATGCCAATCATGAACTTGGGAAGTCCCATCTGTTCCGTTTTGGATCACAAAATGATAGTTTGGAATGATGCGAGAGTGTGGGGCAATCTGATTAATTGTCTTCCATATGGGGTCCTCTTGCCCTTGTGATGGAGGACCCAACAGTGAATTATATAATAAGGCCATGTTTTTGTACTTTGCATACTAATCTGAAATGGAGTTTCTAATAGGTGATTTGTTTATGATGTTTCTGGCTGGTTAATGAGGGGTGCAATATTGCAATAATAATGTAGATGAAGACAAAATGAATATTTGTCAAAACATGTATCATCTAAATTATATAATAATTAGGGGAGGCCTATGTGACAGATGATGACTACATTGCGATTCCTCCCCCCGATCTTTTCTTCCACTATTTGACCACACATAACAATTACGAGTAATAATATTCACATTTATGTATTCCATTTAGTTACTCTAAACATTTTTATTTACACGTTGTTAGTTGTTATACTTTTTTTTTTTCTTTTAACAGGCCAAAGTTTTGTATGTGTTCTTTAATATATGTATAAATCAGGCACAACGTACAAATTAGGGGTGAAAACTCAAAATAGATTTTAGGTATTTAAGTTTGATATTAATTATTGTTATTATAGTTCATCTTATTGATATATAATATGTAATAGTTGAATTGTCAAATTAGTTCGACCTGATTCATTAAGTCAAGTTTGAAGAATGAGTTTGTTGAATTCGATTTGACTTTTACATGAGTTTTTTTTTAATTTTTATTATCAGTAAACTTTTATCAATTTTTAGTTTTAGAATAATTTTTTTATAGTTTTAATTCCTAAACTCTCTTTTGATTTTCACTTCTCATTTTTGAACTTTTTTTTTCTCCTATTAACAGCTTTGGTCTAAGACATCAAAATATTTGGTTCATAATTTTTTTTTAAAGACTAAAATCAAATAAATTCTGTTTAATGACTAAAAGCATATTTAATCTTATTTTATTAATTTTACGTGTTACTTAAAAAGAAAAAATATTTGATCAAATAAACTCAATACTCTTTAGATCTAATTTTTACTTAATCAATTTAACTCATCAAGTTGGATCAAATTGACCTAATCTTCTTCAAGCTTAAAAATAACTAGCTTGACTTAATTTAATTTGGTAGATTAATAGATAAATTTGACATATTAAACTAATTTTGACAGTTGTAATAATATGTATAAGGATATATATATCTTTTAATTATTAATACTATGTTTCTTAAGTAATTAACCTCTTTAATTTCTTTAGGGTTATGCAAGATAAATTAACTCCGTGTACATGAATCTCACAAAAGGGGAAAAGGGACTTAAAATCTTACATTAATGTCTAACCGAGGAAGATGTATATATACATACGGGGATTACTTGTAAAATTGGTCACTTTGCACATTCAGATGATGGGCCTCTTTCCCCATCGCAAGAAAGGGGAACTGATCAGTGCGGTCCCATTGTGAAGTTATATGTGGCATGGAGGATGAGACAGTTATTGATAAAATATTGAGATATAATCACAGGCCCCATTAGAAAGAGGGTATGTGCACAGCTTCATGCAAATATTGTGATATTAATGTTTGCACGTGGGTAGGCCACAAACAGTAATCAATCAATTCGAGCCAAGTAAGCATGAAGCTGTGCACATACCCACGTGGCATTCTCCCACTTTTATTGGCCTACTATTTTCTTTCATGTGGGATATATCATTATCAATGTCACTTCTCCAAGGTCCCACAAACACTGTTAGTATGTTATTTGCATTCTATTTTAACATTTTAAAAACTATTGCCAACGATTGTCCTAAGATTTGCGTGCCAAACGATATTATTTCATGGGCTTGTTAATTATTATAAATTAACAATTACACTCTAAGGCGGCATAGCTGAAATGAAATAATTAGCTCTCTCTCTCTCTCTCTCGAATCTCGATCTCCACACATTTAAAGCAAAAGTACGTATGGTTCTCATGTACTTTTCTAACATCTTATTCACATAAAGAAAAAGATTAATGTATTTATATAAAGCTTATGTTCTGTGGAAGTTGTATTTTTACACTCGCAATGATTCTAAGATCATATTCAGAAGAAAGATAGGAGGAGATGATAGTGGAGAGAGACAAGAGGGACAGGATAGAAAGATATTTCACTACTTTTTGTGGCAACTGCATCCGAAATAGGAGCATGCATATATATCCAATTCAAATATAGCAAACTCATTTGTCTATAGGTTTAGGAGAAAATAATTTACATTAAGTTATGAATTCAAATATCATATTTTATAGTTTCTTTGTTTTTTCTTTAAAAGTAAGAAGCTATTGATGAGATAGTGTCGAACCGGAATGCGTATATTAATGAGATAGCGTTTCCACGACAACTTTAACCATAAAAATGGCATTTTCAGCACTCCAATTCCAAAACCCACTTTTTAAAAAGAGAAATATATATCTTGTTCACTTTATATTTGACGCTTTTTGAAAATCTTGCTATTTTGCCTGATTAGATTGGGAATTCATGAATTGCCATTACTTTTACCCTACTTTATCATAATGAAAGTAACTTGCTTTCTTTTAGAAGAAAACTATCCAATATAGTTTGTTCTCTCTCGCGGATTAACTTACAGGATTTCTTCCTTTTTCATGTTTTGCTTTGGCTCATCATATCAATTGTACCTTTCCATGAAGAATATCTGATTGGCAGGGTTATTTAAATTCATGAATGGAAAACTAAAATTCTCATAATTTCATGCTGAAGATTTTTCGGTCCAACAATGATACTTATATTTCAATTTATGATCTCTGTAAAGTGTTCAAGTTCCTCGGTGCTAGCCCATTTTGAGTGACTGGTGATGGTTTTTAAATACTCATTTACTCAAGTTAGAGAAGATAACCCATATTTATTTTCTCTCATTAATATCTCCATTTAAAAGTATATTCTCACATTATATTGTGTGAAATTGAAAGCTCCATCATTTTTATTTTCCTCCACCATGTATATGCGTAATTTAATCACTGTCTTGTTCTAATTTAAGAGATGTGTGAATCGTACTATTAATTTATATAATAATTTTTTTATAACATTATTTATTATATCTTATATTTCTTTTAATTATAGAATTTACTGTACAAATTATTATAGAAATAACGTTTCTCGTAATTTAATCAAAGAAATGTAGTCTATGAAAGGCAGGCTAGCCTAGATATTCTACTTTGTCAACAAAGCTGATGCAACGTCTCCTTTGTTAATTAATTTTTTTTAGTAATATTTTGTAAGGGTGTAAGTGAGTCTAATGAATCCATGAATTTGGTTAAATCAACCCAATTCAACTACATTTTAACGATCGAGTTAAGTCATTGAATTGGGTTAAATATTTTTTTTATTTAATCAGTTATAATTGAGTTGAGTAATGAATTAAAAAAATTTATAATCTGACTTAATTCAAATATATTAATTATTTAATATACATAAAACAAGACATTGTATTAGAGACATACATGATACAGTAATTACGACTTAAGTTAATAATGTAATATGTATTCAATTCTATTACATAAAATTATAAATATAAATGATACATCAATTAAAACCTAACTTAATAATATAGTATGTATTTATTATATTATTCTTGTTAATTAGTGTTGTGTGAAAAAATATCATTTCACACATTATTTGTAATTGTTGTTAATAATTGAGATATGTATTAGAACTTGAACTAATTATGTATTT